AACCTGAGATCCTGTGACGGAAAACACTGGTGAGTTATGACACCTGGGCTACCCAAAATTTTTTTTTTTTTGCTTTTTTGCATTTTTTGACCTACACCTTTCTCCCAAAAGGATTCACAACAGATCAGGTGCTGCAAGCAGTCAGCATGTCAGCATAGCCCCACTCTGAGCCCAGCACTTTATGTCTTAGTTAACTTGCCAGAAATGTCTTCATGCGTCAACACCTCATCTAGATGGCTGCTAACAGCTCTGGGTGCACAGTTCTTCTGTCAATCACCTTTGAAGGCTTCTACTATACACCTGTCTTTCTCTGTTGACTAGACAGGCATGGACAGCAGGCATGGACATCTAGCTCAGACTGTATGCTCAGCACTGACATGGCTGAAGTCAGCTGAGGTGAAGCCCTACTGAAAACTGAAGCCATGTGACAGCTGGGCTTGTCACTATAAGGAGAACATCTAACAAAGGGCTCTAAAATGATGAAGGGTCTGGAGCATCTCTCTTACGAAGAAAGGCTGAGGGACCTGGGCATATACAATCCAACAATGAGAAGGCTTGAGGTGATCTTATGAATGTCTACAAATATCTGTATGGAGAGTGTCAAGAGATTGAGGCCAGACTCATCTCAGTGAGTCTGTCAATCATCAGCAATACGATGAGAGGAAACAGGCAAAAAACTGAAACACAGGAAGACTGAACATGAGGAAAATCTTCCGTACTATGTAGGTGATGAAGCACTGGCACAGGTTTCTTAGAGAGGTTATGGTGCCGTCTTCTCTGGAGATATTCAAAACCCACCAGGATGCAATCTCAGATAATGTGCTCTAGGGGAATCTGCCTGAACAGGGGCTTAGGCTGGATCTCTTCCAACTTCAGCCGTTCTGTCATTCTGTGACCCTGTCCTTTGCTCCATGTTCCAGCCTCTCTCTACCAGTGGCTCCCAGCCATGTGGTCTGGTCCCTTCCCTTGTACTGACTCTGCCCCTCCTCAGCCCTTCGCTAAGCCCCTATGTCTGACTACAGCAAGATAAAACTATCCCAATAGTTACTAGGATCAGCATTTACCTGATCAGTGATCTGGTTTTGTTCATGATGTACAGGACTAACGAGAGCCAGAGCTGGTCAGTGGAAAGGGAATAGGAAGTGAGACCTTCCCACTAAGAAGTCTGAGTGGCTCTGACTGTCTCATCTACCTCCTCCCTAATGCATAAGCAATGAACCCCAGTGGCAACATGGCTCATTGCTTGTTTGAATGCAGTGATTCTCAAAGATACTCCTGTGAATACGGTATATCTTCCTTAAATCTGATCCTTAGATCAGTACTTGATTCTGGCTCGTAGCATCACCTGTAAAGATCCCTGCTAAATGCTCATCTCCTAACAGGAAACAGAGTTGCAATAAAACTACATACAGCAAAGCACTAACTGAAAGCACAATTAAGTGATGTGGATAAAAGAATGACTCACCAGAAGGAATTCAACACAGCGATGCTTGCATATAGGTGACCACCAGAGCAGGCACCTTAGTGGAAATGACTGTCTAAGGCATCTTTAGTAAGTCATTTTAGCCTGAATTCTCAAAGATCTGAAGGCTAACCTCTCTAGAACGCTAGCCTGTTAAATCCTTCTATTTCAGTTTTTCTGAAATGTTATATATCTCACTCCTTCTATTTCAGGAGTGAGAAGATGCTTTCAGTTCTTTGATTGTCAGGGCTATTGTTTGACAGCATATATGCTATAATTATACATTACTATTGTGGATTAATTAGACCTGGCTTGCATCTGTATCTAATTTTTTAGAGCAGAATTTTAGGCTTTGTTTCATTCCTATTTCACTCAGCCCTGCAAGCATACATCTAAAGTCAGGAGGGTCAGAGTACAGGAACACATCTTTTGGAAGGCGGACATCTGTATAGTAGGGCACGGTAATGTTTCACTGCTGTAAACTGACGAGATTACTGATTATATGCAGAAAACCTGCCAGAGCTGATGCTTTGCTTCATGGACTGCAGGGCAATATGGTTCTTCTGCAGGGCAATATGGTTCTTTTGCCAGATATTCTTTGCTAACAGAACAGCTCCAGCTTTGTTTACTTTGCTCCCCAGCTGCTGTTACACATTATACACTGATTGACATTGTACTGCATCAGCACTAACAAATAAAATGAGCAGGGGCCATTTTTGTTGCTGGAGGCATGTAGCATGGTATGGCTTACATCTGAATGCATCATCCTGAAACAGGGTGATCTTTTCCATCCTGGCCACTAGTAGCAGGTTTTGGCCTGTGTCACTGCTCCAAACATATCTGGGCATTGTGAAGACCACGGTAATGAGAACAAGGGAAAGTAGAATGAGGTGGTAAAGATTAAGCAGTGTGGGTGTGGAACAGTGCTTTAGGCCAAATAGAGCCTTGTTTAGGTTCTCAGTACAGATGCCACACTGGTAAGCTATCATGCTGTATGTTCATTTGCACTCAGATCTACCAACAGAACTGCATATATGCTTGCTCTCTGCTCCATCCCCCTCAAAAGTGAAAAAAACTCATCTGCAAAACTTCTTAAAGTGATCAAACAAACACACTCTGATGTGCTAAAATGACAGAAGTCATATGTCAGTGAAATTTCCATTCCCTCGTGTTGATGGAATGGACTAGCCAAGGCATGCCCTGCTCCATCTCCTCAACTGGAAGCCCTTGTCCCACCAGCTCAGACACCAATACGTACACTGTGCCCTGCTGAGCTATCAGATGAATTGTCCAACAGGATGGAGGATGGAGTTCAACAGGCTGAGGTGTGCCTCAGCCAGGGAACAAGGCTGGATGCAATGGCTGTTCTTCTCAGGAGTTACTTTCCAAAACAGTTACTGAAGGAATGTGAGGAGGATGTTCACACAATGTTCATTAGAGAAAACCCCTCTGTTCCCCTATGGCTGGTGTCACCAGTCTTAGGGAGTCTTGCTAAGATATTTGAGGGCAGCTCGATAGAAGAATCCTCCAGGTGCCATGCAATATCTAAAGCTTACTGGCAATACAAGAGAATTTCTAAGTGCCACTAGAGGTTTTCCAAGAGAAGGAACACTAGTATACCTTACAAGTGGAGACAACCCTCTGCCAGCAAAACTGGCAGATGAACCCAATAACTATATCAGTCTTCCTCCAAGATGAAACTAAACCTGGCAGAATCAGAAAAGGGAGTAAGCACACCTTTGGGATGCTTTATGCACTTTTGTTGCAATTAATTGGGTTTTCGCTGGCCCAAATTTTAGCTGAGAACAGATGTGTCAAATACATGCACTGAGGAGCTGTGTGTGTGCAGCTGGGAGTACAGTTTAAGGGCTGCTTGTGCATTGAGGTCCTTTCCCTCTGACCTGAAGCATTCGCAAGGGAAATAGCCTGTTCCCTGCTTCTGATGTAAAACAGAATTAAACACAGTTAGGTGAACAGTTAAGTTGTAAATGGTCAAAGGTTTGTGCTTTTCTTAGCTATAAAAGATGTTTATTGCAAAGTAGCAATCTCACTTGGGATTCTTGACAATTTCCAGGTATGATTTCATTGCAACTCAGCAGGACTTGTTATTAATAGCCCTACAAAATATCACATTACTTATCACCTCTGTTTACCTCCAAAGTTCATCATTTAGTTTTGTGCTTCATAAACCTGAGAGGTCACTGAGTGCTCCTGGGAGAGACATTAACTCAGTGACACCAACCTGCCCAGGGATTCCCTCCAGAAGTACTAAGCAAGCTGCAAAGTGGTTTCATTTTGACTAGAAAAGAGGAACAACAAAACCTGTTTTCAGAACATTCACCAGTAGAAATATGCTTTAAATGGCCGAAGCCTTTGCCCACAGAAGTTTTTGTCCAAATCCACACTTCTGATGCTCAGATGCAGTGCCCTGAATCTCTTCCAGTTCTCCATCATTACTTACATTACTTAACACAAGCTAATTGTTTACAGGGGAACCATACAGGGAACATCATGAAAGCACCTTATGTAACTGCAGTTATGAGAACATGAAAGAAATCATCCCACGCAGTAAAAGAGATTGAAGATGCCTCCGTCTCCTAAGCACACATTTGCCCATTAACACTATCTAATAAATCCACACTTCCTCCTACTCTTTCCCAGGGGCACAGGACAAAGAAGGGCCAGTGCTGTGTCCTGGGGACACTCACCGACCCTCAATCCTTTCCTTGCTCCTTGTGATAAAGCAGTCACCTGTGAACCATGGCAAGCTTGGTCTGGGTACCTATAATTAAGAAATGCCAATCTGTACTTGTGGTGTCTTGTCTGCTTCCTATGTGGGATACAGTGCTATTCTTCAGCTCTTGAGATCCTAATAGAAGTCTGCTCTGTTGTGCCTTCTTGGAGTTGTCCTTTTCCATGACCCCTAAGTAGCAAACAAGCTGTTATCTATATTCAGGATAATCCTGATAATAAGGCCCTCCAGTCACACACATACAGGGGAGAGAATAACAGTACTTTCATAATAGTTATGCCCTCAGTTAACTTTAAAGCACTGGGAAAAGGAATTATTGTCTACCCCGTACTTTATGCTGACAGACTGTCAATGACAAGAAAGGACTGTCTGGGAATATGAAGGTTGTGGGCAGCTTTGAATGCAGCAACCACGAGATAGTGGAGTTCAGGATCTTACATGGAAGAAACAAGGCAATAAGTGGAATTGCAATCCTAGACTTCAGGAGAGCCAACTTTGACATCTTCAAGGACCTACTTGCAGGTATCCCATGGGTTACAGCATTGGAAGGTAAGGGGGTCCAAGAGAATTGGTTAATATTCCAGTACCAAAAGTTTGTTTAGAAAAGGCTCTTGAGAAACAAAGGTTGCAATGCATGGCTTGACAATTGACCACATTCTTTAATTATTTGTCTACAGGTTTTAAATAAACACCTCAGCTGTGATATAAGATCACGGTGAAGGTAAAAGCTGTGAAAAGCAAACAGAGTTAGATATTTTAATTTTTAATGAGAAGCAAGAAAAAACGATGCCAACACTGGATGACATTTTAGAGCACATCGGAGAATTTGACAGGTTCCAGAAACAAACCTTCTTCGCCCTGTGTTTGCTTTCTGCTGCCTTCACTCCAGTCTATGTGGGGGTCGTCTTCTTCGGGTTCACCCCCGAGCACCGCTGCTTCAGCCCTGGCGTGGCGGAGCTGAGCCAGCGCTGTGGCTGGAGCCTGGCGGAGCAGCTGAACCACACCGTTCCCGAGTGGGGCAGCCATGGGGCCGCCTACAGCAGCCGCTGCAGCAGGTATGAGGTGGACTGGAACGCAACGGCTGTCAGCTGCACCGACCCCCTTGGAAGCCTTGTGGGCAACCGGAGCTCTGTCCCACTTGGCCCCTGCCAAGATGGGTGGGTCTACGACTACCCTGGCACCTCCATAGTGACTGAGGTAAGGAACAGTTTGTCCAACAATATCTGCCTCACCTGCAGTCCTTAAACTTACCTGGGGTAGAAAGTGGGGTTAAAACAAAATTTTCAGGCTGAATTCTAGTAACATTTGAATTGATATTTTCATAATAGTTTTTAAAAAGAAAAAGGCAGTGCATTCATTGATTTACCAAAGACTCCTCTCCAACTTTCACAAAAGCTACATTTGGCCACGTTCCTGGCTTCTCCCAGCTCCTGCAAACCATATTGCTGAGCCAAGGCTGGGAAAACTCACTACCCCACAATGCCGTCTGAAGGCAAAGCACAGCCATAGAAAGCTCCATGGATGGAGATCCTTGCTCACAGCCCCTGCACACAAATTGCCCCGCTGGCCTAGCGGTAACCCCACCACCTCCTACACACTGCGCTGGTTTCACACAGTGAGATAATACATGGCTAGGAGTAGTCCTTGGCATCTGAGAAGGAAACCATGCTCCAAGCATCTTCTAAATTTCAAGCAAATATGGGAGAGGAGAAGGTGACATTTCTCTGAGCTTTTTTATTTTTCCATTCAAAGATTCTCTGCCTCTGTCATTCTGTTCTTTGTCATTCTGTTCTTCTGTCATTGTGTAATTATTTTCCAGGGCATAACTTTTCTGTAAAGTCTGGAAAATCTGGATGAGATGTATTGCAGATGTTGGCTTTAAGAGATTACGTATTTTATTTTTCAGAGCCTGTTTCTTAGTTGTTTTTTTTCATTTCACTCTTTTCTATTCCAAGTTGCTTCCTTCCATTACCCCTCCTTGAAAAAACATGGTTTGAGTTGAATGTTCCCATTCTTCTGTGACTGTCCGTGCAGTTTAACCTGGTGTGTGAGGACTCCTGGAAGCTGGACCTCTTTCAGTCATCTGTGAACATTGGGTTCTTTATTGGCTCCGTGATAATCGGCTACATAGCAGATAGGTATGTAACATGTACAAAGGTATGAGATGAACTGTTTCTTTCAGCCCTCTGCTTCCTCCATGTCACTGAACAACATTCATGACTCAAAGGGGAAATAAATGTGCCAAAAACTTGTTTCAGAAGGCCCATGTATCTCTTAAAAGTGAATGGATCGTGGTTCCTAAGCCCTGGCTGCTGTGATCCAGGAATCCGTGCAAATGTCACAGTGTTCACTCTTTCAATGGTTTTGTGTGGAATTTGCATATTCACAAGCGAAGAGGTTTTTTTTCTTCAACAGTGGCAATCTGTAATATGAGCTCAGAGTTTTAAATGAAATTTTATCTCACTCACCAACAGCTATTTGCCCATCTCATAATAAATTTGTTTCATGTTAGTTTTAACACTATCCAGATGGCTGTAAATCAGCTTTAAAATAGGAATGTTTTTCCCAGATGAAGAAAAAATTAAATCCTAAATCTTCTCTTGTCCCTCTCTCTCTCAGCTGGCTCTGTACAAAGCTGGGATTTCATTATTATTAGGATCTCATTATCTTTCACCTCCTCTTTACTATCATAAAAGTCAGTGTGCCACATATCTGCTCACATTTTTTTTAGGTTACACTCAAAACAAACATGCTTTGTAGCTGATTTTCCCATGCTTCTTGTTTTCTTTTTTTTTTTTCTTTTTTCCCTAGTATAATGATAAGAGAGGCTGAAATTGGAATTTGGAAGAGGTGAAGTTAATAGGAGATGAACGGTCCTACAAAGGCTTCCTTCCATAGAATCAGCCAGTTTTCCAGTGTACTTGAAAGCATTCCATCCTTTTTACATTTCAGTAATGATGTACAGCTTATGGAAGTAAAGGAGGAGATATGTAGCAGCCTAGGTATGATAGGACATGAAAAAGCAATGAGCAGATCCCACAGCTATCAGGGGAGCAACTGTTCAAATTACCCTTCAAACACAGAGATGAACTAAGCAAAAATGACTAGCAAAAGAATTTCTTGACAACATATGGTTAGGTGAACCGGCAGAACCAAGGATCACAGTCCCAGAGCAAATTATATCTGATATGCTCTTTCTGTTTAAAAACACTAAATAATCAGGCAAATTATAAGACCTGAGAGTCAGGTATCATTGCTGTTAAGATAATGCAAGTACATGTCATAACACTGAGTATTTTTCTGCTGCTGTATTTACTGACACCCTCTCCCCATTTTCTATGGTCTTAAACGGTGCAAGCCTTGAGGAGCAAAGCAAGATCTCGTATCCAGGTGCTTAGGACAAAAAACAACTCCAGAAGCCTAAAATTTAGTAGACAGAGAAAAAAAGGTCTATGAATTCTGTGTTTCCTGAATTTGAAACATCTATCCTCTATCAGGAGTGCATACAGAGTGCGCTGTTTTTTCCACACATTAGGTGCCTGAAATCTGCTGTACTCTTGAGAACGTTTTAGGTGCTTCAGGGGAGATTTCATCAGCTCTTCCCAAATGCGCCTCTCTCAGAGGGATTAGACCGACTCATTCACTTGACTGGGCTCTGGGCACATTTCCAAGCACTGGTGTCTTGGAAAGGGCACTCCTGTTTCCTTAGACAGCAGACAAGGTCAGTGCTAAGATTCAGTGTTTGCACCTTTGTCATTTATTGCCAGGCCTCTAAGAAAAGGCCATCTCAGGAGAGGACATCCATCTCTTGTGGTCTGACAAGCTCCTCATGGGCTGGTCTTTGAAACAGTCAAAAAATATCAGTATGTCAGACTCATGAAAGAAAGAAAGAAAGTATGAGAGATCTGATCAGCTGCTTATTGTGGAGAACAGAAGACATTTATTTTGGCTGGCATTTATTATAATGCTGTTTTTGCCAGTGCACACTAACTAATTTAATGGCTTTTATAAATCGAACTTCTAACTGAATATATGTCTCTGTCAGCTAGAGAACAAATGCCTTTCTAGTGCTCAAGTACGCTTGTTTCTTTTGGAAACATTCTATTTCTGACTATGTACCGGTGAGTCACAGTGAATGACAAATAACAGGAATACCCAAGACCCCCTTCTAGAAGAGCTTAGCAGACAGAAAGATTAAATGAGAAAACAGGTAAAGAAAACAGTAACCAAATACGATCTACATTAAAAAAAATATTGCAGCTTTGAAAGATAGGATGAAGGGCCTCAGTAGAGCATTTATTGAACTCATTTACTAAGTCATTAACCAGAAGTGGTGACCTGATGACACAGGATGAGGGAGTTCCCTGAGCTTCTATTGAATGAAAAATGCTGTGAAGGGAATAGCAGATCCAGACTCCTACTCAGAACGAGTAGAGAAAAGGGCGACAGGGAACATCCAGTCTCTTCATACCCTTTGGTCTGCCACCTCACCCTGTGTGTGCAGCAGGTGAGCATAGTGGCAGGGGAGCTTGGCCAAAGCCAAGCTTTCTTTCTGCCCAAGCACCATGGTACCTCTTGGTATCTGTCACCAGCTAATGCAAATGGGAAAAGCACCAGAGCTCAGGAATAGAACAAAACAACATGGCTCCTACATTCCTCCCGCTTTTCAGGTCCTTTCTGTGGTCCCTCCATTTCCAAACATATGTCAGAAGAGGTATAGTCCCTCTTCCTTCTATTAACTCTTGCTTCTGGATTTGGCCACTGTACACACCATCAGCCTGACTGACTCTTCAGGCTGCTGTGGTAGTGGCAATGCTAAGCAAACACAGCAACAACTTGTACAACTTCCACCTCAGCTCTTCTCCACAGGTCTGTGCCCCACAGGGTGGGAAAGTAGATGAGAGGAAAAGACCAGGGAAGTGGAGAGGTCAGCTCCTTAAACACACCACAGGGTAGATGATCAAAAACTTAGTATTCAGGTCAGGACTCAGGATACTAATAAAGCTTTACATTCCTTGTACCTGAGAAAACACTTGGAACAAAATCTGAAAGAGGAAAGCAACCTTTGTTTCATAGAATCATAGAATGGCTTGGGTTGGAAGGGACCTTAAGAATCATCAAGCTCCAACTCCCCTGCCGCATGTAACCTCTATGGAAGTTGGTGGCCCTGAATGGGTTTGTTTCAATGGGTTACTCATGAGGAATCTTTGCCATTCAGCTGGAATTTTGTGCAGCTGCAAGCTGAGCCTTTTTTCCTCTCTTTTCTTCTTCTTTCCCTCTGCAGGTTTGGTCGCAAGCTCTGCCTCTTGATCACAGTCCTCATCAATTCTGTCTCAGGGGTTCTCGTGGCCTTCGCACCCAGCTACACGTGGACAGTGATCTTTCGGTTGATCCAGGGGCTGGTCAGCAAGGGGGGCTGGCTGACAGGCTACGTCCTGAGTTACGGCACCTTGCAGTTCCTCTCACCGGGCAGGAAACCCGAGTTAGCAGCAGGGCTGGCCACTGCTGGTGCCCTGTGGGGATCTGTGGAGACAGGGACAGCCGTGCTATTTACTACACAACTGCACTTTGTTGCTTTAAACCGTCTGTGAGTCAAGCTGTGTTTTCTTTTGTGAGCTGCCTGTCTGAGGGTTTACAGGCCTACAGACTTTGTTATCAATCAACATTTTATTCCTGGAAATCTTGCACCAACTTGTACACATACATAGAATAATTAGGAGGCAGCTCTAGACACTAAGGAGCATTTGTATCCGAAGTGACACGTCAAATGAGAGGGCAAAGTCTGGGGGCAAGAACTGAAAATGCTGCAAAGACATTCAATGCTTTTCCAGGAAAGGCAGCAGCAAGCAGCACTGCAGGAGATAACATTTGTGTTTCACAAACCTTGTGCCAAAATGGCTTTGCTGTGTCAGGAGCCAGCAGATGCCAGCAGGCTGCTGGTGTTGCAAGCTAGTCTTGGTTAGGTGGAATGAGAGATAGAGAGCTGTATTTGCCCTTGTTTTGGGTGAGGCCTGACAGTCCTGTTAGAGGGGCCAAGCCCCTAGCTGACTGATGGAGACTTCTGCAAAGCTGAGTCATGCTACACAGTCAGCCACAGCTGCAGCCACACTATCAGTTGCTTCTAAGCACAGCAAACCACATCTTGTAGACAGTCAGAAAAGTGGCACCAGTTGTCTCCTGTGCCGAGGCTGCAGCTGTACACCAGGCCAATTCTGCTTCCCCAACTAAACCCGTGTCATCACATGATGCCATAAGGTCCCTGTGCCTCACACAACATTATCTTTGTAGCTGCAGAATTTGTTGGCTTAAGCTTCCGGAGGACAGTGGGCATCATCTACCAACTTGCCTTCACTGTGGGACTCCTCATCCTCACTGCCGTGGCTTATGTGCTCCCACGCTGGAGATGGCTTCAGCTTGCTGTCACCCTGCCCAATTTCTTCTTCCTACTCTACCACTGGTAAGTTCCTGTTTCCAGTGTCGCCACTCCCAGCATCCCTAAATCAAAAAGATAATCCAGTGGACTACACCTGGGAGTCCAAGTTTCTTTGAAGAGGTCAGAACTGGACTTCCGAAACAACATCAGATCAGATCTTCTGTTTTTCTTTCATTTGGTTCCCCCTGCCCAGGAGTTCATAGTTTATTCCAAGCCATCTAGGAGCAAGGAACAAACTGTAACATGCGCAGTTGCCTTTTCCTGTCCCTTAAGTGTCATGCTTGTATGCACCGCAGGTGTCTGCCCGAGTCCCCCAGGTGGCTAATAACTCAGAAGCAAAATGACAAAGCTATGGAAGTTATTAAGCGCATTGCCAAGAGAAACAAGAAGCAGCTACCTTCCTCCTTCCAGGTGACTGTACTGCATTTACTGAGTGTATGCAAAGCTCAGGCAAGCAAAGCTACAATGTTAGGATTACTGTGGGTTTAGATTTGGGAGCAGCTTGGTGACCTGCAGTTCCCTAACATACAACAAGTGGCTTTTCTTTGCCTGCCTAGGACTCTAAAAACCATGTTTGAGAAAAGAGGCTTGCAAAAATAGCCAACAGACAAGAAACATTCTTCCTTTAATTAGTACCAATCAACATGCGGTAAACTCACCCAATTTCATGACTGAGCAATCCAAGACATCCTCATTCATTTTTTAATCTACCACTTCACGTCATGCAACAGCCTCATAAATATGGCTGCACAGACATGGGAACTGTCTACACACATTTTCATATTTTCTTTCCCCAAAAACCTTGGAGAAGTTATTTTGCTTTCATAACTGATAAATCAAAACTAATATCTTCCCATAAATTCAGGGAAAAATATTCCTTGGTTACTCTTGCCTGCTAACTCTAATTTTTTATCCTTCTCTCACTTGTGCTTCCAGAACCTCAAATCTGAAGATGAAGATGGAGAAAAGCTGAAACCTTCATATCTGGACCTGGTCAGAACACCTCAGATAAGAAAGCACACATTCATTTTGATGTACAGTTGGTAAGGGAATACTTTTGCAACCTACGTGGAGGAATTGTATTCAATTCCTTAAAATGTCGTGGTTGGACCAGCTATGAATCTGAGTCCTTTACGTAAGCTCTCTCTCAAAGAGTTTGATTTCATCTGCCTGTTCTTTGCATAGGTTCACAAGCTCCGTCCTCTACCAAGGGCTCATCATGCACATGGGACTAGCTAGTGGGAACATTTACCTGGATTTCCTCTATTCTGCTCTTGTTGAGTTCCCAGCTGCCTTCATCCTCTTGTTAACAGTGGATCGCATTGGCCGCCGCTACCCATGGGCTGTGGCAAATGTGATGACGGGTGGTGCCTGCCTTGTTACAGCATTCGTCCCAGACAGTGAGTCATTCAAATCTCCTCAGTCAATGAAATCTCTCCACATCTCCATGTTATTGTTCTGGAAAATTGAAAGTAATCTTTGCAAACCTAGCCCACGTCAGTATTGTGATCCAATGAACACAAATGCCATAGAAGCCTATGTATGCCCGGTATCACCATTTACACCAGATAATGAGAGGTTTGAGGAAGGTCAATTACATTTTCAAAATAGCACCAAATAAGATGGCAAGTCTGCCTGTGCTAGACCACAAGAAATGCCCTGTTATTCTTTAATTTTGGTGTGGCTTAGAATTTGGATGCTCCGTTCTGGGTGTTCATCCTCCAAAGTCCATCTTTTCTGTTTCTAAAAAGTTAAAATGTGGTGACACACACACTTAAACACCATCTGGATACATTGCTTCCTGCAGTGTAGGATGTTGAGCAACCACAGTGAAAGGCACTTGGCTTTTATTCAGCTGAACATTCTCTACAAGGCCGGAGTCTCAAGGAAACGTCCCACGAGAGCCACTGACTGGAACATCTTTCCTTTCTTTTTATGGAGCATAGTTAGACTGAAACCACAGAAATAATAGTGCCAAACAGCTATCAGTTCACAGCAGAACAAGGACAGAAAACAGAAAATGTAATGGAAAAATAATAATAGGCAAAAAAAAACAAAGCATTCAGACAATAGATATTTCACACACAGCTGGGGATTGCAGGGATACAGAGGGGACTGATGTGCTTTTCCAAAGCAGCACTGGTGCAGGAGGCTTCCAGCTGCTGCCCACAGCTGCAATTGCCAGCCATGTGCAGCAGCAGCAGTCTGCTCAGCTCTAGAGGAGCTCTGCAGCAGTAGTTATCAGCAGCTGTCAGTCTGCATTCCTCATTGGGGTAAATAAGGGAGAGAGTCCATGCTGCACATGCGCTAGTAGCTGAAACAGCTGAAACCACCATCCGAAGTCAGATTGGGATCTAAGAACCCATGGGGCATGCAGCAGTATCCTGGACTGGCACCCACTGCTGGGCTGGAATATTCATTCATTTGCAGCAGATGTCTCTACCTTCAGGTCTGAAAGCGATCACAGAGCATATACCAAGAGAGAGGGGTGACAGCACCAGCTTGTCCCTGCCAGAAAGCCATCAGACATCTCTGTGCAAAAGTGCAGAGTACCTTGCAAATTAGCAAATTTTGGCAACCAGAAAAGCAGCTGTGAACTGCTTAGTTTTATTGCATGGAGGAAATAGCATTTTTGCATAAGCTTTCGGTTAATACACCAAAATACCCAATTTACTTAGCATCATCATTTTCTCTCTGTGACAGCCTCAAACCTCTGTTATTTACTTGAATCAAGACAATCACATCATAAATTATTTGAAGAATGAAAGACAACACAATCATGCTCAGAGCTCATGACAGTTCATTACAGTGAAGTTCTTCTTTTCTTAAATTAAATCATTAATGCTGTTCTGTGTTAACAGCAGAAAAAAAATGGTTTTGTATTTCAACCTCAATATACACAATGTCTTCACAGCTCTCTACTGGCTTAAAATGACCGCAGCGTGCCTGGGCAGGATGGGAATTACCATGTGCTATGAAATGGTTTGTTTGGTAAATCCTGAGCTGTATCCAACTTCTCTCAGGTAAGCATACCTCCTTCTGTTAGATTTAAGCAGTGAGTATGGTTATGCACTTGAGGCTGTCGTAAAGAGTCACCATTTAAACCGCAGAAATGTCTGTCATGGAAGAAAAAGAGGACCTGTCAAATAGCAGAAATGTCATTTAAAATTGAAAGCCCACCAGTAAGCTGTGCTTATCACTGTGAGGAGCAGCAGAGAAGATTCCCTGTGAGGAGAAAATACAGTGCTGCTTTTCTAAGCCCGGCACTAAGGCAGGAGTCCCTAATGGGATATGTAAGGAACTTTTTCAGATAGCCTTCACATATCCCTCTTTGAGGGCAGTTTGGTGAGCTTGGAGTCAAATGATCATTAACACCTCTAACCCATGATAGGACTGCCATCATATTCTCCCTCATCACCTCTTTCACATTGCAGTATTCCTCACAGAACTCACAACCTGTGCTTTTCTATGTTCACACTGATAAGACTTTTCTCAGTTCCTGCCTTGCTGTCTCCACAGCTTGTTCCTCTGCCCATCAGCTGCAATACCCACTGCAGGGTGCTGGCCCCTCTCTTCTACCCTACTCCAGCCATGGGTGGCAGCAGGGGGTTTCACAGCCCTCCCTGCTGTATGGGGCACTCCTATGCAGAGCTCCTGACGTGGGCCAGTGTCTGTCTCTTCCAGGAACCTAGGGGTGCTGATCTGCTCATCCATGTGTGACATCGGTGGAATCATGACTCCCTTCATCGTGTACAGACTAGCGGAGCTCTGGCACGAGCTGCCCTTGGTTCTCTTTGGTAAGAGAGCTAGGAGGTGGTTAGATGGCCTCAGCCTAGATGAGTGATTTTGGTGACCTATTTCCCCACTGTTAAAAAAAAAAATGCTAAGAGAAATGAACATATGCATATCAGATCTAGGTTAAGTTTCTCCCATCTGGCTGTTGGGAATTGAGCTGAATACACTCCCTTAGTCCTTTCAACAAAGGGAATCTCGTGTTTTGGGAGCAGCTCTCTCAAGCTTTGACTTGCTCTTACTGAACCTTCCCATGGTAAAAAGGTCTTTGGGTTTAGTGCTACACATTTTCAATGTAGTCAAGGGACTAGAGGTCAGCACAGGCTGGCCTTTCTTCTCCTGCATCTCTTGCATACACTTCAGGGGCCTAGCCCTTCAGTGATCCTACTGTCATTTAGGATCAATGCTCCTGCACATATTCATTCTGGTATGCCCAGCTGCACCTTCTATCCTGCATGTGGTCATAACAGGGTCCAAAACTAAACAGAAGGCAAAATAGGCAGGATAGGCTGATAGTACCCTTTCTTTCACATCTTAATTATAGCCCAAAGTAGGAATGGCAGCTAGCTAGCATCACCCCCATCACATCCCAGCAGAACAAGTAGAGCAAAAATCTGTTTCCTTTGCACTGCATGCACAAAGCAAGGGAGCCAGATTGCTTGAGGACCTATGGACCAGGCCAGTGTTCCAGGCCTCCTATGCCTCTCAGAGATGTTTGCAATCACTGTTCAATCATAAGCTGTGTCTCAGTTAGAATTAACGAGAAATTTGGAATAAGCTGAGGCCTGATCCCTGCATTGCCTTTGTGGGCCCTATTCTTGTTTTCTCTCTGCAGCTGGGATTGCTTTTGTTGGTGGTGGCTTGGTGTTGCTCCTACCTGAGACGAAGGGAAAAACTCTGCCTGAGACCATTGAAGATGCTGAAAACATGCACAGGTATGGTGCTTCAAGCACAAGCCCCACAGATCAGAGCAGTTTTCCTTCATGGCATCAAAGCCCTCTTGTTGCCATTCATCACCAAGTCCAGTTGGGAACCTGACACTTTCTGGCCAGGCCAGGTTCTGAGTGCAACACAGCGCAGGACAGGAGAGGAAGAAGTCTCTTGAAGGAAGTGCATACAGGCAAATACACACCCAGAAGTTACTGTAGAAACCACCTAGAATAACAGCTTTAACAGTAGGAAATGACAAAGTTACTAATGCAACCGCTAACATGATTTTCAGACATCCATGCAGCTGCAGTCAGCCTACAGAAATTCTTCAAATTACTTCTTTTCTTGCTGTTCTCTCAAATAATTTGATCTCATTTGAAAAACTGCCAGCGATGGGAGAGTTGTTAAATTTAGTCTCCAGTGAATTTAAGCAGATGGGTTATTTAGTGGATAATGTTCTTTGCCACACCAGAGCATCATCTGTCTTTCCCTTATTCCTTCTGCAGACAAGAAAGAAGCAAGGAAAACACAATTTATCTTCAAATTCTGACTTCAGAAGCCGTACCCAAGTAAGGCTCCACTTTTATTCCAAACCTGCTTTCACTGGGCAGCAATGGAGGGGCCAGCACAACAGCCCCCACCCAGCACTGAGGAAAGGACCATGGACACATAGCCCACCCTTTTCCAGCTTGCTCTCCCACTACCACGAGCCACAGCCATGGCAGTTGACTCCATGGATTTCCTATTCAGGCTCTCACAGACCATCTTCCACTGAATTTCTCTATTCATCTTCTCAGTACTTTCACATTTCCCCGGACATTTGACAACAGTGACTTTTACAGCCCAGGCAGGACACTCATGAAGTAATGCTTTTTTCACACTTGCAGCTCATTTCTATAGCAAGCAAGAATGTATCTGTAGTTCCAACCCACCTCCACACTGCACTAATTTTACATGAAAGAAAGCATGTAGATAGTGGCTGATTTATGTCACTGCCCATATATACCCCTGAAAATCTCAGTGCCCGATGCTGAGCAGGCTCAGCTCCTACCACTTTATAGCAAACACCTCTGCAGAGCACGCTTAGGGAGTCCATGAGTATCCACTAGAACTTCCCACTTAGTTCTCCAGAAAAGGTGGAATAAACCTGGTGAGGGGGAAGTCTAGTTCCAGACCAGTTTTTAAGCTTTGGCACCCCAGAATTCGATTAGCTATGAGACAAGCTGGAAAATTAAAAGGAAGGGAAGAAAGAGCTGCAGGCAGATGAGCCTTAGGCCATGATGTTCTGAGTGCTACTGCCCTATCTTGTGGGATCAGTGATGGAACAAGGAGACAAAGTCTCATCGCATACATCCACTGGGAGCAGCACAAGCAATAATACACCACAGCACTCTGTACAATAAAGTCCTGTTGTTCTAATATGTCTTGCTTTCCTAATGCTGTAGATTGGGCTTTTTGCATGGCCAGGCTCCAAAATATCTATGAGTGATATGAATTAAGGAAAAGAAGAGGCGCAAAGGATCTAGCTTTCTACGTAGACTTCTATTTATAACATGCTGAAATATAACAACCATAGGTTGAATGTCCTCTTCTCTAGCCCTTCGGAATTTCATAAAGTGGTTCACATCACATTCAGCAGCTTTTATTTTGATTTGCCTCCTGACTAGCCCCACTTCTTGGATCCCCTCACCCTATTTTTTGTACAAGGTTTTTGACAGGTTTCAAATCAGTATACTACAATAAAAACAACTGTTCTGACAGACTTCTTTTGGTATCAAGCTGAGACCTTGGCAATCACAGCAGGAGAGCAGCTCCATAGACACACCCAATTGCATCTTCACAGCCCCTCAACCAAACTCAAGGCTAAATTGTTCACTGCTGACCCTGCAATAAATGTTAATTTTGCAACTGCCTGGGCCAGTGTCATCTGAAGGCCATGCTCAGCAAGACAAAATACTTCCCTACCATCAAGACCCACACAGCAAGACTGAACATTAACTGCTGCTCAAACCTGGTGAAAGCAAAGGTAAAGACACCACACTGACAACCAAGCAGTCGTCCTGGAGCAATTGGACACTGCCGGTGAGTCTAGCAGTATTTTTACTCAGCTGAGTGCCCTGTCTCCACAGATGACCATTAAGCAGCATCAGTATCCTTACCAGAAACCAGCGCTCTCCAACATTGTTAGGGGCCAGCAAGGCAAAAAACAGTGACGGAAAATTACAATACCTCATGTCTGTTCTCCCCTGAAACTGCAAGATGTAAAGGTTGCTCAGTGGGGTAGAAAAGGAAAAGCAGAACATGATCAGGAGAGATGAGCAATTACTGCAGTGCTACCACAGAGAGCAGAAAGGGGAACAAGGCACAAAGAAAGGCAAACCCAATTCTGAAACAGCTGCAAATCATGAAAGGTGCTGAACTGTCCCTAACAGATCCAACTTTGCTCCTAATGCTCCCTGAGGCAGAGGGCTACTTGACAAGCCTCAGCTCAGAAACTCTGCCCTATGTAATAAAATTAGATAAGGTTTGTTCTCATCTCAGTTCTACGACAGAGGCACATCTCTGTTACGTTACGCTACCCATGCGAGACAGTTAAGTCAGATTGTTTATAAATCTGAGGTTTATAAAGTTCATTTGGAATGGACTCCACAATCCCCAAGTTAAAAATCTGCCCCATGTTGAGATCGACACAGTTTGAGTGAAAATTTTCCAGCCCTAAAACATTTCTATTATAGAGTACAGAGAGGGAACAAGCTATGCAGCACCAGGGACAATCACATCAGAAAATCTCAAACATTCAAATGAAAGGATAGACAGAAAAAAAAGGGAAGGATGGAGTATAGTATTCTTATCAGTGGAGACTTTCAAGATGCAATTGTGCAGCATGCTAGATAATTTCTTCTAGGCTCCCTTTTCCAATAAAAGGTTGGACCTGATGATTTCCCAGAGGCTACTTCTTGCTTGGGTTGTTCTGTTATTCTATGAACAAAGGGAAGCAAGACAGAAGAGAGTATTCATTCTAATTTTATTTTTTTACAGTAGTGCTCTAAAGCAGATTGCCCAGAAAGTTATGCCTTCTTCAATCATGGGCTACTTCTGATGCTTGGACGTGGAGATAGATCTTTTTGTCCTTTGGAGTGCTTCGCCTGCAAGAACATCAAAATGTGAGCAGCAACCAGCAAGAAATGCATTCAGCTAGCACCTGATTTCAGGTTCTTCATTTGCTCTGCCTCTTCCCCAGAGAAAACAAGCAGTTAATTCTGAAGTCCTCTAGGGTTGCTCTGGCTCCTCGGGAGATACCAATGCTTCACTTACCATATAAAGTAGCTGTTATTAACGCTGCACTTTGTTCCACAAAAATCAGCCAATTTCTTAAAGCACAAATTACAGTTATAGTAGGGTTGCAGCCTTTTTAAGATACCAGCCAAGTTATTCACAGACCAGTAAAAGTATCTGTGGTGCTTGTTTTCAAATGCCTAGATGAACACTAAAGCAGAGTCCAAACTCTCCTAGAATGAAGCCTAGGAGCCAGCTATGGAAACTTCTTGGAAGCATAGGAGGCAGCAAAGTAACAAATGGGCTTCCCCAAGGAGTTCTGTTGTACGTTTTGTACAATTTCAAGTGAAACCTGCCAGCCTAACTCACCTGTGAAAGTTTTCAACATCTTCAACGGTCTCAGGCAAAACTCTTCCTTTAGTTTCAGGCAGAAACAACACCAATCCACCCGCAATCAAACCAAGAACAGCTTCAAATCAAAGAAACGCACAAAGAGCTTGTTATCATATACATTACTTTCTGCTGCCTGGCATAAAGGACTTACAAGTGGTATTTTATTTTGTTGGGGTTTTTTTGTTTGTTTTTGGGTTGTTTTTTTTTTTTTTTTTTTTTTGAAGAAAATGAACACATAAGGCTTGATATGCAAGACCAGCACACCATCTATGGAGGATCTGGCAGCTACATGGAAAGAGCAAGGAGTCAAGTTCAGTTGTGAGTTACACACTGAGCTGGGTGGGGTAATGATGACTGGACTGACATCTGTAAAGAGGGAAAAATCCTTTTGATAGCCTGAGCATAAATCAGAAAATGGATGCTGTTTACATAACAAGCTTTAGAAAATACATACCAAACATATTAATTCCTGCACAATGTGTTTAACTTGCTCACTGATAGTTTCATTTACCCACTTTATACATGTTTTATGTCTATATTTTGAATCTACTAAGCACTCTCCCAAATGTTCTGTCAATTAAGAACTGCATATTGCCATTCAAGACATTTTTCTTGAAACAATGTTCTTCTGATCCAAAGATTCAGAGAACACAGACCTTGACCTGAAAAGTTCAGGTCACTATTTTGCAAGTGCTCATCTTGCATTTATTTACTAATCTCTTTCCAAACAGGTGGAGAAGAGCCAGTTAACAGTGTTAGAAAAGCTGAAGTATAACAACTATGCTTGTACTCCATTAAAAAAAGATGAGGGAAGGGGGAAATTCTGACTTTGGCTCCAGGACTGAGGAAGCACACCTCATAGAAGAGCAACAATTTATCAGATTTAAATACAGCAAAACAAAACCAAAACCCATTTCATCTCATCAGAATGTTGGAACGTTGCTCAGCATTTCACCATCTATCCAGCCTGTATTCATCTCCGGCTTCTTTTAAAACGCAGGGAACAATGACACAATTACAACATTGCAGGTACAAATGCCCAGGCAAGTCCCAGGATGCTACAAACTGAAGGTTACAGCACATACAAATGTGAAAACGCACCTGCTGAATTTGGAGCTACTGTCTCAGCTGTTTCTCCCTCTCTTTGAAATCTGGACCCCATTACTGCACCCCAGAAGCAGCTGGTGAGGAAGTTATGTGGCACTTACTGAAGACTATCAGTGGCAACTCATGCCAGATTTCCACCAGCCTGTAGACGATGAATGGGACAGCAATTCCACCAACATCACACAAGGCAGAGCAGACCATCACACCAAGGTTCCTGGTTTGACAGCAAAGGGATCATATTAGCAAGCACTGCAAATGGAAGAGGACAGGGCACAACTCTGACTTCGCACAAAGCATGTGGCTTCACAAGCCACGAAATACCAAAATAGTGTGCAAAGCTCTAGTTTTCCAAAGGTGGGCACATCCATGAGTTACTTAGACTTAAGTACTGCAAGCATGAAAAGCTTAGCAAATAGCAGCAGTATAGTACACTTGTATTATCACAGTGTAAGAAATTCCCCAAGGTTAAACATAGAAGAAAATCAGGCTCAAAGTGTCTGAGGGGAGTCTCCAAGCACTTACTATGCAAAACCATTAGCTTCACCTCTTAAATGACTTAGCACAAGGGGCATCAAATAATGCTTTCGTTTGGTATGTACCATTAATAAAAGTTCAACTATCTTCTACTATGTTAATTGTGGATATAGAAATGAGATTAAGAGTCTCCAGTGAAGAAAGGAGGATTGAGATTCTCTGGTCAGTTCAGACACCTTCCCTGCATGCAATGGCCAATGGTCACTCAGGGGAAAGAATTTTTGAGAACTTTACTCCCAAGCTTTAGTTACCTGCAGTGCACATAGCTACTTCTAAGCTATGTACCCCACAGTCCAATAGGAAAAAAAAATAAATCCATTCTTCAGGTCAAAAGCTCAAGTTCACATATTCTCCATAGCAACAGCCATGCTGGACACATCCA